CAGCACTCAGGAGGCTGAGGCAAGAGGATTGTTGCAAGTTCGAGACCAGCCTGGACTACAAAGTAAGTTCAGGGCATCCTGAACTGCATAGCAAAACCTTGTCTCAAAAAGACTAAAAAACAAAAAAAACCCCATCAGTCAAGCAGAAGGAAGGAAATAATAAAGATGAGTAGAAGTTAATGTAATAGAGACTAATAGAATATACGCAAAAAATAAAAAATAAAAAACATATGGGAACACCAAATTGAATCATTGGTTCTTTGAAGAGAGAAGATTGATAAACCTTCAAACGTACCAAGAGAGAAGACCCAAATTAATAAAATTAAAATGAAAAGGGTGAAATTACAGATACCACTTAAATCCAGAGGATTATTAGAAATCATATTGTAAAATTATATTCCAATAAATTAGAGAGGCTAGGGATACAGCTCAGCAGCACAAGTGCCTGCAGCAAGTGCAAGGTCCTGAGTTTGATTCCTGGTACAACAAAAAATCCAATAAATTAGAGAATGGATAAATTCCTAGACATAAAAGACCTACCAATACTGAACAAAAAGGATATTAAAAACTTTAAATAGATCAGTAACTATGAGGTTGAAGCAGTAATAAAAGCTCCCCCAACTAAGGAAAGCCTAGTACCCAGTAATTTTACTGCTGAATTTTACCAGAACTTTAAAGAGCAATGAACAGAAATGTTCTCCAAACTTCTTTTTTAAATAGAATTTAGAAATGTAAGGAATGCCTCCAAATTCATTCTACAAAGTTAGCATTTCCCCAACACCACAACTGGATAAGGACTCAAAAACAACAAAAAGTAAAACCAATATCCTTGATAAATATAGATGTACAAGTCCTCAGTAAGATTCTTGCAAAAAGAACTGCCCACCAAGCTCTTATTACAGCATTCTAAGGCTTCACTAGCCTCCTTCTCCAAACTTTTCTAAACTCCTTCCACAAGCCAATCTCAAAGGTTCTAAACCACAAGGTCAGGTACAGTCACAGCAACAATATCATTTTTCATTTCAATTACAACTACAATTGATACCAATTTTCTATATTAGCCAGCTTTGCTGTTCTGGGAGAAAATACCTGACATCCAAAACTTAAAGGAAAAAGATATTTAATGTGATTCATGGTTTCAGGAAATCCATCCTTCAGCTCCAAGGCAGACACACCATGGTGGAAGGGGATGGCTGAACAAAGGTACTCGCTAATGGTGGCCAGGAAACAGTAGGGAAAGTATCAGAGAGGAAGGGGCCATGGATTAGATGTAATAGCTAAGGCATGCCTCCAGACCCATCCAGAAATATGCTTTATTAATCCCTTGGACAGCTCCCAAGCCCACCAAATTGACACAATTAAGCTTAACTGCCACAAAAAGAGATGTGTACACCACTGGAATATAATACAAGACACAGACACGAGCCCATGCGCCTATAGCAATCTGATACTTGTGGATGGAAAACATTTCCTGGAGAAAAGACAATCATTTTAACAAATGGTCATGGGAAACCTGGATATTCACAAGCAAAACATTGAAGTTAGATTCCTACCTCTCAACCTCTACTAAATTCAAACACATCAAAGACTAGATATGAGCCTGAAAGCATTGGAACTACTGGAAGAAAACACAGGGAAACACTTGAAATCATAGGCACATGGAAATACTTCCTGAATAGGATACCAACTGCTCAGGAAATAATATCAAGAATCATCAAATGGAAAAACTTTTCCATAGCAAAGCAAACACTCAATAGAGTAAAGAGACAACTACAGAGTGGGGGAAAAAATCTCTGCTAGCTAGTCTTCTGATGGAGTATTAATATCTATAATATATAAAAACAACAACAAAAATCCTAAATAGTCCAATCAATAAATGGGCAAATGAACTAAAGAGGGACTTTTCAAAAGTCGTCATTAAAATGGTCTATGAAAAAATGTTACACATCTTTAAGTATTATGGAATTACAAATCAAAACTACACTGAGATTCCACTATCATCAAGAATACAAGGAGTAGCAAATGATGAGGAGGATGTGAGGGGGAAAAGCAACCCTCATACACTGTTAGTGGAAATGTAAAGTAGTACACACTATGGAAATCAGAATGAAGAGTCCTCACAAACCTAAAAATAGAAGCACTATTTGATCCAGTGACAATACTGCTTGGTGTATTTATGAAAGATTTAAAGACAACCTATGTCTACAGTAATAAACGCATACCCATGTTTCTCATAGAGCAATTCATAATGCTTAAACTGCAGAAACAGCCTAGATGCCCATCAAGAGATGAACAGATAAAGAAAATGTAGTATATACATACAATGAATTATTAGCCATGAAGAATGAAATCATGTACCTTGCAGGAAAACGGACAGTTCTAGAGACTACCATAGTAAGCAAAATACCCTAGTCACAGAAAGATAAGTATCATATTTATCTAACTATTTTCTCTAATAAGAGCAATCTATGCTGCGTGTGGTAACAGATGCCTGTAATTCCAGCACTTGGGAGGCTGAGGCAGGAGCACTGCTGTGAGTTTGAGATCAGTCACGGATACAAAGTGAGTTCAAGTCCAGCCTGAACTGCATAGTAAAACCCTGTCTCAAAAAAAAAAGGCAATCTAAAAAATAAACAGAGAGGACAGGAAACTAGAGGGAAGAATTTTAAAAATGGGAAAGGAGATTAAGGAGAGGCAGGAAAAAAGGAAGAGTAAAGAGAAATGAAAATAATTAAAATATGTTATTCACATATACCAATTCACCAAAACAAACGTCATTCTTTTCGCTAATATGCACCAATTGAAGAAAAGAAAGAAATGGTACTGGGAAATAAGAGAGTTGCTTGAACAAGAGTAATCTGGGGGGCTGGGAATTTAGCTCAGTGGCACAGTGCCTGCCTAGCAAGCACAAGGTCGTGAGTTCGATTCCCGGTACCAGAAAACAAAACAAAACAAAACAAAAACAAAAAAAAAAGGAAAAAAAGAGTAATCTGGATCCTCACCTCACACCACATGCAAAAAACAAACTCAACTGGATCAAAGATCTAACTGCAGCAGCTAAAACTTTAAAAGTTTTAGAATGTAAGGTTCAGTCATTACCTTGGATTTGGAAAAGGATTCTTAGAAATGAACCAAAAGTATGACTGATAAAAGAGAAAATAATTTGGAATGTATTAACAAATACTTTTGTGCTGCAAAAGACTATGTGAAGAAAGTGAATGTACGACACACAAAACAGGAAAAAAAAATGTGAAAATCACTTATTTGAAAAGGGACCTACAGCTAGAAGATATGAATAACTTTTATTATTCCAAAATAAGAAAATAAATAATCCATTCAGTAATAGGCAAAGGATCCAAATGCACATTTCTCTGTGAAAGAAAAACCACACCGAAAGACGCTCAACATCTTGAGGTAATTGTAAATCAAAAACATAATGAGAGGCACTACCACATCCACTAGTATGGCTAGAATCAAAACCTCAGATAAAACAATTATTAGATAAAGGTCAGCCGGGGCTGCACAATGACTTCAAGACCAGCCTGGCCTTTACAGGCAGACACTGTTTCAAAAAACAACACAAAACAGTTTGTGAATAATTTCCTGGTGGTCTAGCAATTCCACCCATAGGTATGCATCCAAAAGAAATAAAAATTACACAAATACTCATAATATAATCCATAACAGTCAAAATATAGGAACAATCCAAATTTCTATTAACTAACGGGACAGGCAAAATGAGTTATCCATTTAATGGAATATTACTTCACAAAAAGAGGAATGATGTACTGTTACCTGCCACAAGATACATGAACTTTAAAAATGCTACGCTAAGTGAAAGACCCTTCACCAAAGACCATACAATACACTACTGCAAAATAAATAAATAAATAAATAAATACAAACAGCCCGTCGTGGTGGAGCATGCTTATTATCGCAGCACTCGGGAGGCTGAGGTTGGACGATTGTTGGAAGTTAGAGACCAGCCTGGGCTACAAAGTAAGCTCAAGGCCAGCCTGAACAGCATAGCGAGACCCTGTCTCAAAAAAAACCAAAAAACAAAACAAAAAAAAAACTATTTCATATGTCAAATGTTTTAACTGAGAAAAACCTATAGAGCCAGAAAGTATTTTAATGTTTACGTAGAAGCAACCAAGGTGCTCCTTTTGGAGGTGATGAAAATGTTCTAGAATTAGATAGTGGTGATGACTGTACAACTTTGTGAATTCAGTATATACTACTGAATTATATACTACTGAATTAAACATTTCCAATGGGTGAAGTGTATGGTATATAACCTAAATGTTAATAAGCTATATTATGCTGGGTGTGGCAGTGCACGCCTGTAATGCCAGCACTCAGGAGCTGAGGCAAGAGGATCACAAGTCTGAGGCCAGCCTGGGCCACAGAGTGGGTTCAAGGCCAGCTTGGACTACATAGTGAGACCCTGTCTCAAAAAAAAAAAAAGCTATGTTATTAAAAGGTGGAATATACATTTTCTTTGTTTTTATCTATGAAGGTTGTCTCTACATTAAGAATTGTTTCTATGAGTCAGGAAACAAAAAGGCTATATCTGATCCACTATATCACTATGATGTTGGTCTTTCAAACAGTTATCAAAAAGATACTACCTTCTAATTTGCCTTATCTCATTACTCATCAAATATCTTGGTCATACTCCAAAATTTCAAATTAAAGGAAAAGTAACCCAGGAAATAAAAAAAGTGATGCAAACACAAATGATTACCTTTTTTCTTCAGTTCTATCTGATCTCCAACTTTTCTTCCTATTTGCTAATAAGCAAGGGCTTACTTCCATTTTCTATCCTCTAAAAAAATATCATTTCTACACATTTACTTACCACAACAGAAAAAAAGACTTGAAATTTATATTTTTAAAGTGAAACAAAACCATTTTAATATTTAAACATTTTTAATGTTGTTTTTCTGCAGTGCTTCTGTTTCCTGCTTCCCATCAAATGCTACCATTCTAAGTCTTACCTCTGTTTTCTCAGTCACTTCATTTTCTGTCATAAGGTCTGCTAAAGCATAGACAAATCCAAGATCTAACCTGAGATCCATTTCTTGAATCAATACTTTGAAATACCTATGTTACAAAATAGAAAATAGTAAAATATCATTAACTGTACTAAGAAAATCAGATGAGAAGAAAGTATTTGATATACATTATAACTCTGTTTTGTTTTTTTTTTTTTTTGGTTTTTCTCTGGTACCGGGAACCGAACTCACGACCTTGCGCTTGCCAGGCAGGCGCTTTGCCGCTGAGCTAAATCCCCAGCCCTACATTATAACTCTGAAACTTAGGATTCTTAGATGAATAAAAATACATCATGACAACACTGTTTACAAACAACCACAACACAGAAAAACGGCCATGGAAAAATGGCTAGGCCATGGTACACAGTAATACAGCAGAACATTATACATCAGTGGTAATGAATACATCATAGCTACACACAACAAAAATCAATACATTTTTAGTACAAATTTTAATTAAAAAAGCAAGTCCCTGAAGGTTTGTTTAAAGTTTGAAACAATTTTTAGAAAATCAGAAAAAAATTAAAGCTATAAAACACTGAGGTATACATACACAGTAAAACTGTATTTTCAAAAGCAAGGAAATGTAACAGTTCATCTCAGTGGTCAGGTGCAAGAGACAGACTTTTCTGTTCACATTCTATTTACTGAAGTAAGTATTGAGTGAATACAAAAATAATATTTTTATCCTTGTTTCTAAAACTATATATGGTCATTACAGGCATTTTAAACACAGAAACAAATGCATAAAATAATTCACAAGATTTAGAAATAACTATTTTTAACATCTAGGTGTACTTCAGTACAGATTTCTCTTTTGCTTTTATAATTTAATACATTATGGTTAAAATTTTGCTTTATTTGTAATTTATAGAGTACAAATAATTCATATATTTCAACCAAAACATAAAATAAACATGTAAGAAATGTATGAAAACACTTACTTAATACGTGATATCTGGGAATGTCCTGCAGATCTCATGACAATACTGACATCTGTAAAGGGCTTTGGTGCTATAAAGTTTATACATATGATTACTCTTATGGTGCTTTAAGCCAAAATTAAGCACATTCTTCCAATTTAATATACATTAAACAAAAAGAAATGAAATCACTAAATCATGTTAATTAAAACTTCTGATATTTTGCAAGGCTCGTTACAACCCAAATTTCAGACTCTAGGACCGTCTTTTAAAGTAACTTCTAAAAGTCACTGATTTTGAACTAGAAGTCTGCATTAGAATCATCAAGGAAAGTGTGGAACAGATTCTCGGCCCTTATGGCACACCTGCAGAAAGAGGGGCTGACATCTACACAGCCATTAAAAGCTTCCAAGCAGCCTATGTGGAGTGCCTCTAACAGTTTAGCATCCACAGTATGGGCTCTAGGATAGGAAGCCAAGGTGAAACAAAGTAATGTAGGGCTGTAGAGAGTCAAGAGAAAGCAGACAAGAGAGAGAGAGACACAAGAAAGAAAAAAGGTGAAGGAGAAGAATAGCTGCCAAGTTACTGTCATCTGGAGAACACAGGACAGTTTCGCTTGTTTAGAAAAGACTGAATTTAAACTTCCTCATGGTGTATTTAAAGGTCTTAACAGTCACATCAGATTTACAGATTAGTAATCTGGTTTTTAAATTAATATGTCTAAATGTCAATATTTCTATGTGTAAATATATGCATGT